AAAATTTTTTTTCCCCCCCCCCCCCCCCCCACACACACACACACACACACACACCTTCAAAGATGCATACGAAGTCAATTTTTGGTCACAAAAACCAACCAAATGCCAGCATATAGTTTCAAGTAGTATAACTAAGAGAATTGCCAAAAGGCATTGTTTAATTTAACCCGAAAATGTTTAAACAGATTTTTCTGCTAGCGTTCTATGCTGTATGTCAATGGGCCAGAAAAGTAGGTCACGAAAGTAGGTTAAATTTTTGACCAAAAATTTAAAAAAAGGAGCTCTTATGGCTGATCCAGTGATTTATTCAGTTTATCTCTTGGCATGTAGAATTTATTTGAGTCATATAAGTAACTAGTAGAAGTGGTTTTTATGTGTTACTGGGAATCCACGCTCCACCGATGCTCGGTTCGTATGTACCTTTAATTGTGCTCTTATATTGCTAAGGAATTACAAAGAAACCATTGGCTGTGGAAGTATGATTAATTACTTTGGTTTGAATTCCCTGAAAAAACACCATAAGAAAATAATGAAGATGCCTTGATTTATTGATCAGCATCTGGTATATTCTTTCTGGCTATGACAGGCGGTCACAGTATTAAGATAGATGACAGTGGGTTGCCCTCCGTGTGTCATCAGCCTGACCTTTGACCTCTCAGTGACGCAAACAGACAAGATGTTGACAGTGCAGCATGATGGTTCTGCCCTCACTGCGACCTGCTGGAACAGAGGGAAAGATTCACTGCAATTCTGACCTGTTTTATTTTGTACTTAAATGTACTTACATTTGCTTCTGCATGACAGCGTATTAATTTGTATACTTAAACTTATTTTCATTTTCTTAATCGTCTAAAGTGGTCAAAAAGAAATTTGAGATTTAATTTAAGATTTGCCTTGTTCAGAAAATTTTGTCTTTGGTGTTGCTCTTAAGTCTTGCAAATATTGGTCCACTTGTTGATCACTATAGGCCAATCAGAGGTGTGACAAGCACTATACCCAATTGCAGTAATTAATAGTAAACTCTGAATAGAATTTCCATCATGTGCATTTAAACTCATGACACAACAGAAGGTAACAAAAGATGAAAAAAAAAAGGCTCTGAAGAATTATCGCATTTTCATCCCTTATTGCAAATAATTTCATTAAATGCTGCAGTGTTATCAATAAATTTCAGTTATGTGGTTTATTTATGTTATATCTGTTTATTATAAAAGGGGTATGGCTTCTTTGACAATGGCTATTTCAGTGACAACTTTTCTTCATTGTTTTATCCAAGAAACAGTGGCTTGTAGTTTTTGAAATATAACTACAGCTGATTAAGAATATCAGAAAAAGGGGGTGGGGTGGATGATCCTTCATTTTTGCCCCTGCCCCCCCCCCCCTCCCCCTTTTCTGGACCCACTACCACAACCTATTGAATTCTTTGAAAAGTTGTCAAAAAATCTGGCCAGTTGCATGCATAAGAGACAATAAAGAATGACAGGTATGACCGTTGGTCATCACTCATGTCCAGCTGTCAGAGTGACCGTGTTGGGACAGACCTCTTATCATGTCTAAAATATCACCAAAGTCATTCTGCATTTTATCAGATATAGCTCCTTAATTATATCAAACATCGTCAATTTTCATTCAGTTCTCCTAGATCTTAGATATTTAAAAAGAAATCTATCTATATATACATATGGAATTGTGTATGGTGCCAAGATTGGGTGTGTACTGGGTGACCTTAAGGGACACTGAATGTAACAGAAGGTGTATGGACTGGAGGAATGACAAACATTACACTGGTCAAGGCTGTGAGACTTGTCACCAATGTAAGACACACAGGAACTATGTACCAAACCTTCTGTGATATTCACCTGTGATTTGACTGGTCAGGAGGGATGGTGAAGAAGACCAATTTGTTCTCATGGTTCAGTTTTGAGATGATGCTTATGTGAATTTATGTGCAGTAGGTGGCTGGCAGTTCTTGATGTAGACTGATCGTTCGTACGAGAAACATGGTACATGAGTTTTGATGAGGAAATTTGCAGCTTTCAACATATCATTTTACCATCTATTTGCTGCTGTTTTTTTTATAGTCAGAAGTGAAATGTCAAAAATGAAAATTGTATGTAGGAGGTCATAGACGCCACTCTAGGGTAGTTCCTGTACTAAACAAGTGAACGCTGTCTGCAGCACAGCAATGAACAAGTTTTAAATTATAAAAAGCACCTTGGATGCTAAATTGATAATTTGTATTTCGATAAAGTTTGAGGATGCTGTGCCTCTGGAGGAATGTTTTTGCAAAAGGATTTGGCTCAAGACTTAGCAAAGAGGATTGTCAAGGACAAAGCTGTATGTGTAGAGCCAGGGGTCTAGGTGGGTTTTATATGTAACGTCATTACGCGAGTCAGAAAATAATTTGTTTACTTGCAGAACCTGATGATTAGGTGGATACTGTGTACTAATACCTATGTAACTTCTCTGTTATGTAAGGCTCTATTCCCATAGATTTTAGATCGATCTACCCCGCGGGGAGTCTCACTAGATTACTGTCAGATAATCCGGCTTAAATGTCCGTCCCGCCTACTACAAGCTGTAAGAGGGTAATTAACTTTCGTGTCCGCCCGGCTGACAGCTGTTTAGCGTGAACACCCAGGGAGTTAGGTCGATCTAAAGTAGGTCGATCTAATCTATGGAAATGGGGTGTAATAGTATGCTGACATAATTACTAGTAAGTAGCTAGATTGAAAAATTTAATCAGGTCAGTGACTTTTTTCCTTGCAAAATATTTGTCACTTCCTCAAGCCAGTGTAAATTGTTTTGGCACACAGTTTATGAGTAAGTGTGAAAAGTGATAACATAGCTGAGCTGGTGTAAATTGATGTTTGTTGAGAAATACAAGATGTGTGAAAATGATAGACCTTGAAGTTGATTTGACCTTGGCATTGAATTGACCTTGGTATTGATCTGACCTTGGTGCTGATCTGACCTTGACCTTGCTGTTGATTTGACTTGAGTATTGATCTGACTGAATATGGAAGGTGTGAAACTATTCATCTTGGGAACAACTTGTTGGACTCTTGTGAGTGGCAGCAATAACTTAAGGGCACATAGGCAATATTTTGTTTACTAAAGTATTTGAGATACAGATAACTGACTGTCATAAGGCTTAAATGTGCAGCCTTAAAACTTTATTAGGGTTTAGAAAAAAAAAAATGCCCATTTAGATTTCAGAAGTTTTGAATGACAAGATATGATGTGAACATCAATCAGAATGACAGAAATGTCAAAACAGAAACTGATATGAAAAGTATGTTTGGATGCAATGTTTTGAATGAATGAATGAAGGGTTGAATTGGACGTCAATCATAAGATAGTAGATCAAGAAATGGTGCCTGGAGTTTTTTGTGCCCTGCTTTGATTCCTCAATCTCCTGCCATGATTATACTAAAAGTTATTACAGTATACATGAGAACCTGATCACTAAATATATGGATACTAATGTGCAATCGCCTTTAGAAAATTCTGCCAGATTTGCAGCATTTTTTTTTAAATTGATGTTCATCTTTGTTTTATCTTGTAGGTGTTGTCCATGAGCATCCTAGAATTGGTTCTGATGGTGAGAGTGAGGAAGTCTCAGGAACATCAGATGAACGAGAAGAATACACATCGCCTGTGAAGTTACGGCAAAAACATCGAAGATATAGCGAGGTTTGTACCGACTCTATTACATGTTAGGGGACAGATTTCAAGGGTGTTTGAAATAACCACTCTTTTTGGTCTGAAAATATCTTCTCTGAATTAAAATTTGATTGTGGTTCTCAAGTTGGGTCAATTAAGGGGGTAAAAAGGCACAGTTTTTCAGAAGACCCTTTCCTTGACTTTGCTAGATACAGGTTTGTATTTACTTTCAGATGTCAAGTTTATGCCTCATCTGTTTTAAGTGTTTTATATACTGAGCCCTTAGCAGATTGTAATTGTGTTGACAATGTTTTTTTTCTCACTGGTGACATAAATCCCTTAAGATATGTCAGCAACACGTATTAGTGGCTGTGTGTCTGTTAAATCCACTAGGCCCAGTATTGCTTTGTAGACTTTATGTAGTCTGCTATGAGTTTTTAAGCTGTCTTATAGGGTAGATGAGGCAGTAAGTGAGAGTATATGGACCTATACATGGATGTAACCTGTTCTGCATTGATAAAGGCAAGTTATGGAGTTATGAGTTAAGAAATTCAGGAAATACTTTTGGTGCGGTAAGTTAAAGGAAGGCAGTCAAAAGTAGAGCTTTTTTTTTCAAAATGTGCTTTTCCCTCGTATTTTTGCACCCACGCATGCCTGCATACAAAGAGCATGAGGTAGATGAATAAAAGTCAAATCTAGAGAGAATAAGATAAAGCCAGTATTAAGATAACTTTTTAACGGTATGTCAGAGTCTTCAAGATTTCCACTGTTTCCATTTTTCTGGTGACATTAACAGTCTGTTGATTACATATCACTTGATGCAGTAGCAATCCTCACATGGTTTCACTGTTGGAATTGCCTGCCCTTTGGTTTGGAGCAGATGACAGAGTCGGCTGCTAATTCAATAGGCCAGGCAGGACTCCAGAGACCCAAGTTTACTGGGCTGTCACAATTACACTGGATATGAATCAATAAGAAGTTGTCAGGTTGAATAGAAACTGTGCTCTTCAATGGAGATTTTTTTTCACGGAGTTTTCTATAGGTATGACACAGCACTGTAATGACCAGAAAATTTTGCAATTCCTTGTAATTGTATTTATTATTGTGCTTATTTCTGCCGTTCTCTCATCAGTAGGCCTGATTCAGAACCGATGAGGTTATGGTTTTCTCTGGCTAGATGTACTCTTGAAGTTCTCATCTTTGGGGATCCCTGGCATAGAGCATATATAACATGAAAGCCGCATTCACAGTTCTCCTTTTAAAGTTTAACGGAGGACAGTGTGAGCTCAGCGAACCACAGTCTATTTCCTGGATGACCTAGTCCTCTTATCACACAACTCAAAGGAAAATGAGGCTGTGCGCACTGTGTGAAGACATATAAGACTAGGTGTGCAGGCATCTATGACTGGGTTCCCATACCTAGATCAATCCACAGTTAGTATGATAGGGTCTGGGAATGGTCCCTATGCGAGATTGGGATAATTTTTTTAGCCGTAAAGTAATTTTTTTAGCGATTCGGGTGAAATTCTATTCTGAGACTTAGGGTAGGTCACCTCAGAAAGCAATACAAAAGAGGCACAAAGCATGGTAAATGTTTACTTACACAGTTTTACAAATAAGAAACTATCTGTGGATACATTTTCGCATCTAGCTTGTATTTGTCATCAAACTGCATACTGTATACTACTCCACTAGTCTGACCTTATTCTGATGCCGTGTAATCTTGCTTGATTTTACATTCTTGAAACTTTCAGCTATCTTGGATGATTCCTATTCTAATTATTGGGTGTACACCAGAGCAATTAGATTGCCCCCCTGTGGTTAGATAACAAGGTTGGAAGTTGAGCCTTCTCATCTTGACTGTAAATGCGCCTTGTTATATAAGTTGGAAACATTTGAACTGACAGTGGTATCGTGCAAAGCAATTCCAGCTATTTGTTCCACAGATCAGACTCTTGTTATCTTACTTCACGAAGCCTTAGGGGGTTTTGTGGGCAGGGAAGTAACCGCAGGCAACATGGGTCATAATATCCTCTTTTCCTGACAAATAATCTTCCAATAAGATGAGCGGTTATTACCAGGATTTTTTTCCTCATGGAAGTTGTATGAACTATGGCCATGACAGAGAGACACCTGTTGTGGAGATACCTGAGGGAAAGGCATGATAGGAAATCATCCCCTGATTAAAGATGGTGCTATTTGTATTGTACTGTGAAGCCAGGGTTCGGTGAATGGCAATCTGATTACACAGAATCACAATGGGAATCAATGGAGCTTAATCAGGTTTGTAGATAGGAACATGAATAGAAACTGAATTTCCTGGACATTTCTGATTTTCAGTGCTAAGTGGGTGTAATTGATGTGGGGAGGCAAGGTGTTGATAAGGGTTTCCGTAGAGAGTGTATGGTATTTGACAATTGACCATTCAACAGTTTTTTTGGAGAATGAAACTGGGAAAGGTTGCTGAGAGGATTTTGCAGGTAGGTCTCTGGTCCAGACATTCAGGAGATGTTTCCATCATTTTCCCTTCTTGGGTTTTGACTGTTGACTCTTGGCATACCATTAGGTCATGCACACCTATGTATTTTAATGGTTTAAAGTTTACCAAATTGTGATGCTCTGATTTCAGATACACGCTGTTCCCGTAACTGATTCAGACATTAAGTACAAGAACTAACCATTGGCTGTGGTTTATTTCTTGTTTTTGCTATAACATGTAGCTTTATTCTTTGATTTCAATTCACGATGTTGTATTCCGTGACGCGTGTACCTTATGTAAATCAATAGGTACCATTTACAGGTGAGACACATGGCAGTCATTTAAGGTAGAGATCAATACATAAATGCATGTTACTTAAACAAGCCATTTAGTGCTTTAAACCACCCACAAATTCTTGTCTGTGGATTTCATTTTCCAAGTTCTAAGTGGAGGAAAAAATGTACTGAAATGCTTGCCATTTTCTTGTACTTGGTGGCTGTTAAAAAACCTGGATGCTTGCCATTTTCATGTTTATAAACGGGGGGTCATATTAGCAGGAGAAGGTAATTAATTGCAGCAGCCCAGATTTTTCTGCCAAATTAGTAATGAATTGGTTTTGATAGCTGAAGAAAATCGTCTTAGTTGGCAAACATGCCGTGGTTGCTTGAAATGATGCAATGAAATACTGAGAAGAAGGGAAGTGCTGCAGTAAATTTGTCTCAATTATCACATTTTTTTTCTTAGAAAAAAGGAAATAACAAAGGTTCTAATTATGTAATCATATTTTACTGTTATTTTTGATTTCCATTTTTGCAGCAACACAACAGGTAATAAAATAAATTCTGTTATTAACAGACAAGAAAAAAAAAACTAAGCCTGTGTGCACATGTAACTAGATTACATTTACACATACGCCCTGCGATGCAATTATTGGCAAATTTTTTTTTATATTGTAAGGAGCTTTGGGCTACGCCGAGTATGTCTACATTACATGGCCTTAAATTAAAGCCTTTAACCTATACGATTTCATGCAATTTTGCATGGCTATTGTCTACCTCCGCTCAGAAAAGGGTTTTACGGGCAGTAAACGTGCATTGTACAGGCATCGCATTTGAAATGTAATCTAGGCTTAACACAGGATTCAAATTCTTCATATTTGTGTATTGCAGCAAGACATCAGCAAGCGTCTGTCTCTACCGCCTGATCTGAGGCTCCCCGAGAATTTCCTCGCACGCCAAAGCGTCAGTCCCACCCTGGACGGTCCACTCACCAGGCGACTACGTCGAGCCTCTTTATCAGAAATAGGCTTTGGAAGAATAGAGTCCTATACAAAGTTAGATAAATTAGGAGAGGTGAGTGTGTGTGTGTGTGAGGATCGTGTGGGCATGCAGCAAAAATTAATATAGAATTTAAAGCATGGTAATTCTTTTAAAACAATTAAACTGTAGAGGTTGTATAAAACAATCATAACTTTGCATGGAGGGCTGTAATGGTGAAATGTACCTGATTGGGCTGACAAATATTCTTTTCAAATTTTAAATGAATAAATTTCATGTTGGTTGTAATGTTTTGAATGAACAAATATGGTAGCTTTGGCTTATGACTAGGAATCTTACTAACGGCAACTTCAAAACCACATTTGCCACATTTGCATGCTACAAATTACTTCTAACCTTTACAACTGTTAATAATGCTGCTAAGCTCAGTTTTAGTTGGAAATTGGATAAATACAGGATGGCGCTATCTGCCCTATATTTAGTTCAGTTGTGTCATTAGCATATAAGAATAATGGACAAGGATTATATTTAATGGGCCTGGTAAAATGCAGCATCTGTGCTTACACGTTGTAAAAGAGCAGTCTCTGTTAACCTCAATAATGTCTAGAGATAGAGAAAAGGTTAACCCTTGGGGGAATAGAACCTAGTTTATCCTTTATTCTCATTTCTATTTTTTCGTTTTTGTTGCTGTTTTTAGGGTACTTATGCCACTGTATTCAAAGGCAAGAGCAGGTTAACAGAAACCTTAGTAGCTTTAAAGGAAATCCGCCTAGAACATGAAGAAGGGGCACCATGTACAGCTATCAGGGAAGGTGAGAATTGTGATTGGTTCATTGTGCCATTAGTTCCCATTGGTTCATTCTGGCATCTGTTCTGATTGGTTCATTGTGTCATCTGTTCTGATTGGTTCACTCTGCCGTCTGTTTCCCTGGGTATTCTTTTTAGAAATAAACTTAAAATGCAATCATATTCTTGTCATGATTTTGATGCCACTTTTCAGATCACTGAGTTTAAATGGTTTAATGAATTTGTTGCGTTTATAGCTCAATTTTGGGGTGGATATTGACATGATTGCTCATTGTAGATAAATAAAATATTGAACTCACAGTAATTTACAGAACCTATATTAATTGTCCAACTTGTTACAATATTATTGTTTTTAAAGAATGTCCTCTCCTGTATTTTTTTTTTTTTTTTTTTGATTGGAGGAAAGGAGTAGCCTGTTTTTAATTCTGTAAAATGTGACAAATTTAGTTTGTTTTTCCTTCCAGTGTCCCTCTTAAGAGAGTTAAAGCACAACAACATTGTGACATTACATGATATTATACACACAGACAAATCACTGACTCTAGTCTTTGAATATCTGGTATGTATGATTTGCCTTATATGTTTATGTGACCAATTTATAAATATTTATCATAAATTGTTGCTAGTAATGTTTTAAATTGAATTCTGTTGGGTTTTTAATTATCTGCTTTTTATGTAGTGAATGATAGAATTACTGTTAAATTTTTTAACTAATAAAAAAATCAGGATTAAAGGCTAAAAGAGTTTCCTAGATTTGGTAAATGGTCATTGTAAGACATCTAGGTGTTGAAAAGAAAAATTTCATCCTGGCTGCGACTTTGAAATCAAGCGATACCAAGATGGCATTGTGTTAGTTGTGACAGAATGTTCTTTAATGAACAACTTGTGTAAGTTGTGACAAATGAATATGGTCTCTTGATAAAATTTTCATTTGAAAAAAAAAAAAAGATAATGAATATTTTTAAAATGAAGTTCACTCTTTAAAATTGCAGGACAAAGATCTCAAGCAATATATGGATGACTGTGGTAACATAATGAACCTACACAATGTCAGGGTAAGTTTGACCAGAACATTTAAAGTTTGTAAAGTTATGGATTATTCTGCATACAAGCGTCATTTTCCAATGTCAGATTTTTTACCCCCGGTATACAGTAATGGTGTTCAACAGAATGGCTGTCTAAAATGAATTGTAAATAATGTAAATAACCTGGCGAAAAATAACAGATCTGCTGATAATGCTGCAATTGAATGCTACAAAACAGGATTGATGACAGTCTGCCCTGTGAAAATCTGTAATCTCTCTCTCTCTCTCTCTCTCTCTCTCTCTCAGGTCAGAGCTATGATAGTTATTAAGTTAATACTGATGAAAGCAAGACTTATTTATCTGATTATTTCTCTGAGGAGCATGGATCATACCACACTCCTGTCAAAATAATTTACTTATTTTATTTCTTTTTCCTTTTTTTCAGATATTCCTTTTTCAGCTTCTCAGAGGTTTGGCATATTGCCATAAAAGAAGAATTTTACACAGGGATCTAAAACCACAAAATTTACTTATCAATGAAAGGGGAGAGTTAAAGTTAGCAGATTTTGGTAAGTGAAGAACTGTTGCACACATAGTGGCTGGGAAACCTATGCTGAAATGTTTTTTGCCCAAGGGCATTGCTAGAGAATCACTCACCAAGCATGGCGCTCTTGTAGCAGAAACCTAAACAGGCCCACATTCCAAAAATGGTTCAAGTTAATAAAGAGAGAAAAAACTCCAAAGCCGTGAATCCATTTTGTTGCATGTTCACGTGTTAGATGCTTCCTTTTCATATCCGAGAGAAATTTTTGAGGATTCCTGGAGACAAACGTCATTATTTGCTAATCCTTATTATTCTAAAAAAATATTTAGGAAACTCCCCAAGTGATAAATGTTATTGTAATCTGTGCAAACACATACAGTAAACAAATAAGTCGTGTTTCAAAATCTAATAGCCTATTTGGCCAATTATTTAGTTTGAAGTTTTCTGTGTAACATAAAAAGTAAAAGGTATTTTGAGTTAATATTGAAACTACTCCATAATTTCAGGTCTGGCCAGGGCCAAATCAATACCTACAAAAACCTATTCCAATGAAGTGGTCACATTATGGTGAGTAGGCAGTTCAAGATAGACCAGTGGCTAACATCTTTGTTACCAAGGTTACATGGTCACATGCACGTATCTTACCCTATCAGGAACAATGTAACACCACTCTCATGGACAGAGTTGTCAGTTAAGATAGACCATGGTTTTTGTGTCCTGTTTTAGCTTGGTTGTGGATTGTAATTTGACTGACACTTAGACCGCATTCACGAGTTGAACCATGGCTCTACAAATCCACGAACTAAATATGGCGGACGTACATGAAAGAAAAAACGCCTTATCTTTTAATAGTCTCTCCGCCTCTCACACGCCTCCCCATGTGTCGTCCCAATGGAGCTGAGATTTAATGACTGTACCCCCTCAGGGACGACACGTGGGGAGGCATGTGAGAGACGGAGAGACTATTAAAAGATTAGGCATTTTTTCTTTCATGTACGTCCGCCATATTTAGTTTGTGGATTTGTAGAGCCATGGCTCAACTCGTTATGAATGCGGTCTTAGTGAATTCAGTATGTCATGTTTTAGACAAAAGACCATTGATTGTTTACATACAGGAAAATAAGGTCAAAAGATCTGGAGGAGGCTTTTAAAGGTCATGAATTTTAGATTGGTCATTGAGGAAACACTCACATTCAGACACACACACACACGCACACACACACACGCACACACGTGAAAGCTCAAGATTTAAGAAAAGGGAGAAGATGAAACGGTTATTCCAGAATGATGAAAATGGCTTTAAAGTAGATTAAAGGAATGTTACCTCTCCCAGGAATACCCACAATATTACTTTTATTATATATCCTTTCAAATAAAACCTTTGAGATGTCTCCACTTTACCTAGTTAATAAATCAGTACAGTTATTGGTCTGTACAAGGTTTCTTCATTAGGTGTTGTATAACCATCTTCATTTGACAGAAAAATATTGATTCTGTGAGAATGAGATTTTCCAGACTTATTGAGGAATAAGGATTTTTTCCCTTCCCGACAGTGATAAAAAGGTCCACGTTATCTTCTAAGACATATTTGCCCTGAAGTCAATCTCAGACTTCTTTATAGATTCAAATGTGTGTTTTTTAAATCACTCTAGAGGCTGTGATTGAGCATGGTTCATTGTATCGTTCCAGACATGTTAAGATTATTTTACCCCATAGTCAATCTGGTGTCTTCTAAACCCAGTGAAGCGATCAGTGCCAGTTGTGATATGAAATACACAGTAGACTCGGAGAATATGACATGCTGTGATCTTCACTGACTTTGCCTCAATTTTTTGTCCATCTAACCTCTGGCAGGCAATAACCTTGCTTTCCTGTATAGGGCTGATTAAAGGTGGTTCTCTTGGACTTGTGAAAGAGGGGCTAGATTTCTTTGAATTCTTTGATAGGGTTTTATAACCCTGAGGTTTTGGTGTCATATCTAAATTGACTTAAAAGCAGGTTAGTAGGCTTGGAAGATAATCAACCAAGATGAAAAACTTTCATTTTCTGTGGAAGACTTTTATCCTGGAGGGCCCAAATCATTCTTCAATTTACTGAATCTTCTTTTTTCTTTTCTCCAGGTATCGTCCTCCTGATGTGTTATTAGGATCAACTGAATACTCTACACAGATAGACATGTGGTAAGCATACCAACAGATTTTATAAATTATATAGAATGACTTTATATGGTGTTAAAAAAACCAAGGGCATTTTGATGATCCTGAACCCCAACTAACCAAAACTGAAATATATTCCTGGTGCTCTTGTAATATCAGTTGTCATTTTCTTATGTTGAAAACTTTAGATTGTAGTCACTATATGTATAAATTGTGAGTTGAACGATTTGACTTGTGCATCGTCCTTATAGGAGTGTTGTTTTGTAGACAGATCCCTGGGTACCTGCCCTTTCCCCAAAACAAAATAGCATATAAATGCCCCCCCCCCCAAAAAAAAAAAAAGTGCCTTCTTTAACAAGGTTAAGTCATTGATTTAACGCATCCTTTCTGTGTTTCAGGGGTGTTGGTTGTATATTTTATGAAATGGGTTGTGGAAGTCCATTGTTTCCTGGCTCCACAGTGGAAGATGAACTGCATTTGATTTTTAAGGTGCTAGGTAAGGAAAATGGTCTTGATGACTATGACAAGTTGAGACTGATCAGTATTTATCAATAAATATCATTCACATTGAGGTAAAAAGTTTTGATTTTCATGATGTTAAGAGAGGAGACTGGAACTTATATTATTGTTTATTAATTATCAGAGACTATTTTTCTTAATTCAAAAGCTGTTATCAGAGACTATTATTCTTAATTCAAAAGCTACTGAAGACATAATTTTATACAATGGCCCATGTTGATCAAATACTTATATCTTGGAAAGCATTTAAGTCTTATTTTCCATACAGAAAATGGCAAGCACATATTTTAAGACTTCTTAATGTGATAGTGGGAGTGGGGTATGGATTGGTGCAGGTCTCTTGGCCATTTGAATAAAAAAACAGCAGCAGATTGAGGCATGTATTATTGAGAATAAGAGTAAATGGAAAGTGTTTTATGATGTCCTATTTTATTTTTCAGGAACTCCCACAGAAGAGAGCTGGCCAGGAATCTCCCAGGTTGAAGACTTTGCCAGCAATCATTTCCCACATTACGAGCCAAAACCACTCATTAATCATGCCCCTAGGTAAGTCCTCCCTCCCTCTCTCCCTCCCTCCTCATCTCTCTCTATCTCTCTCTCTATCTCTCTCTCTATCTCTCTCTCTCATTCACACATTGTATTTATAGTATATTATATAATAGTGCAATGTAGATGGCCAGTTTCTACTTGTAAAGCTAAAACACTACGGTGCGGTCTCGGCAATGCACAATGAAGATATGTCTCCATTTTCTAATCCTTTTTGAAGGATCTGTGATTCCTCATTTTATTTCCATTGGGGTTTCTTTTGTCATTCCACATTTTACAAAACCATTTTTGTTCGTAGAATTGAAAAAGGGACTTCCTAATCTCTTTTTTAACGTTTTTAAATATGTATGACTCTTTGCTTAACATGCTGTTCAGTTTATACTGAGTGAGAAGTTTAGTGGTTTTCACACCCCAAGAGTGTTTCTGCTTTACTGACCAACTAAATACTTTACTTAAAATGCGGCCGTTGGTTATATTTTTAAGTGTACAATAGTATCTGAACACCTCTGTGTGTTGAACTGTTAAGCTAGGTATCCACCCCATGTCACCCTGCTTTGCCACATTAGACATCGTTTAAGTTATGCCAAGGAAGATGCGCATCGCACGAGTTTGGACATTGTTGACAAACCAATATTCACTTTGTCCCCATAGTGACGCACAGTACATTAAAACTGGTTCTGCTAACATATACAACATATTGCTAATGATCTGTGGCTTATCTTCATTTATTTTGATATACATAACTGGAGATGTTATGTGACTGTGGCTATATACACTTTACACGGTTTCAGGGGCGTTTTTGATGAAATGGGAGTAGTTTCTTTCTGTATATATGTCAAATAATTGACCACAACACTTCTCTCTGACGCTCTCACATGTGATACAGTGGTATTTCTTGCCATAATTTCAGATTTGACCAAGCAGCCTTGGACCTACTAGGGAAATTCCTAGAGGTATGTAATATGTTACTATAGAATGAAAATACACAATTCACAGATACAAACACACAGTAGTCACTTTTACAAAGCAGGTATAACTAATTCTAGTTCCAGTATTGGTATTTGAACAACTTGAATAAATATCTTTAATTTTTGTATCTGCTGACTTTACTTCTTCTGTGATTGTATCACAAATTAAATACCAATTAGTCGTTGGCATTATTATACAATCTGTATTTGCTCTTTTATTTGAGAAGTGATGGATTCTATTTCAATGATTTGACATGAAATTCTGTATCTTGTAATATAATGAGACAATTATATTTTCAGTATAATGTGAAGAAACGTATTTTAGCATCAGAAGCCATGAAGCATTCGTACTTCAACAGCTTTGGTCCTAATGCACAAAAATTACCTGACAGTGAGTAGAGTCATGTTATCACAGGACATGGGCCCCTAAAGATAAAGTTTGATCACATTTGTTCATTTTGAATACAAAAGAATCAATTTTTGGACTTTTGTGGTAAGCCAACCTCGTGGTTTCACTCATATTTTATTTAGTTAATATTTTTTATTTTAACAGTACTTGATGACTAAAATCATTACATGTAATCCACTTGTAAAATAAATATCAAATTTGTTTTTTGTCTTCAGCTGTCTCAATCTTCAGTTTGCCTGGTGTGAAACTGGAGAAGGATCCAGGAATGAGGACATCATCGTTAGCAACTTCAGGTTGGTCATTTTGTAACATTGTGCTTGGTGTAATGTGGAATGTTCTGTTATGGTGTGATGTGACCATATCCCAAAACATTTTTCAAGCATTTATGTTGTCAGTTACCGATTTGATAAAACAGCACAAGATTTATGTGCAATAAAGCAAAGTTGTAATGATCTTGTTTGTGTTCTTGGTTTTCAGGGAGCAGACGGCGCCAGAGCATGCTGTTTTGAAGGATCACATAATACAGAGGAGAGTGGAGAGAAGTCACTCCTAAGGCCAATCAACAGTACCAGCCCTGTTAGAACTGAAGATCATACCACTGTTACAACCGACTCGACTACACTGTAGACAATGGGCCCGAGTGCCCCACAGCTGAAAAAAAAGGGTCTTCAGTTCAAAAGATAGTCTGTCAACCTTAGAACCAATTGTGGGTGTGTTTGACTTGAAAGAAGCAAATATGGACATCCAACATATGGGCAGGGCGATTGTAACTCGTCATCCAGTGATGAAATATATAGATTGATGGATAAAGGCCTGGGCTTTTTTTACTAAAGAAAAAGCCCATAAGAGGATGCAGACAAACCAGTTTCTTTCAAAGAAGCATCTTACATTATCATCATGCGTTTCACTTCAGACTTCTCTTGTTGTTGGACGGAGTTCCCTGCCTGCACTGTTGGGTTCAGGGCTTCTATGTATCAGTTGCCACCATGTCCAAGGACTATTGAAGTCATCTACAAAGGTTATAAAAGAGAAAAAGTGATATATGGATGTGCCAGATTTTCATCTAGCTGGGAGTCTTCAACTTTTGTGGTCTATATATAAGTAACAGAAGCTGTGTTCAGGTGTAAGAATCACACATGCTGCCATCTATATCCCAAGAGAAGCTCATCTAGACTGGGATCTGTTAATATCCCTTGAGCAATTTTGAGAAGAGGTCAGACAGAAGGTCATAATGTTTTATAATGTGATATGATGAGCAAAGAGTTCAATAGAAACATTCTATACCAGACAGTGATGGTATGGAAAGTTAGGACATGACGACAGCGGCAAAATTATTTGCCCGATGTAGTAGTATATTGGACATTTCTGCTCAATGCATTGGAATGGCCTCACATGAGAAAGATGACACACGTATATTTTAAAAGCACTTTTACTGTGTTCAGAGCTTTGTGCAAGATAACGGGTGTCCCAGTACAGAAGTCCACATTTCTGAAACTCAGGATGAAAAAAGTACCCTCTTCTGATTTATTGTGAAGCAGTGTTCAGACAAGACAACTTTTGACCTGATATTGGTCCAACTTATAAACCCGCGTTCAGACAAGACTACTTTTGACTTTACACTGGTACAACTAATAAAGTAGCATTCAGCCAGGACTACTTTTGACCTGAAATTGGGCAAACTTGCACTGTCAGACATCCATACATATTTTAGAACTATTGTCTTTGTGTAACATAAGTTAGTGGTCTGATTTCCAATACAGATTACAAGCACGAGATATTAAAGGCTGGGATAGATATTCACAATTTTTTTCACTCTAAAGGGACCATTGCATGATGTGGTTCTATTGTCTGTTGCTTGAATTGGTTCTGAGGTAGCAGTGAAAGGATGCTTGCAACCAATTGAAGGGTACCAATTTTTTTTAATTGTATGGAACATTGGAATGCTGTATCATGTACGAAAAGGCATGTCACAGAATGTGAGAGCAGAAAAGGAATTAAGTAAAAATTGGGTTGCTGCTCTACAATCCACTTTGTGAAATAATAAGTATTTGATCATGAACACATTGTCATAGTAAAAGTCTGTAGGTTTAGTATGTGCACTGTCACACAGTCTTAGAAGTTAGGAAGTTTAGAAATTTAGGGGGAACATAAACATGCTGTTTTACCTCACAGGAAGTATTTACAGCATAACATTACCTTATTGTCATTTAAGCTGCTGTCCATTCGACTTATGCTGGTTATGAATGATAATTATGCTTGTTGAATTTGCAACTGCACACTTGAATCTATTGCCATGGTTTTCTGCCCTTAATAGTAAACAAATATAAACTTACGCTTGAATCAACCATACCAAACACATCCTTCAGATTAATTCATCGTTGATTGGAATTTTACAGATTTAATTCAAGGAACAGTATACATGCTTGCCCCAGGAAAAAATTCACAACATATATTTGATGAACACATACTTTTGGAGCTATTCTTCTCTGCTGCATGCTCTTTTGGTTTGTGAATTTGCAGAGCAGGGGATGGGTTTCTGGTTAATTTGGAAAAACATGACAGATCTGAGAACATGAACTAACCGTATTCAAAGAAAATTGGATGGTTCAATATGTTGGCAAGCCTGTATACTGCTTCTCCATGCCACAGTCCCAGATATTTGGTCACCCAGTGAGTTCTCTTTGTTATTAAGTAATTAAAATATCATTCAGTGCAATTGCAACCCCACTCTATGATACAGTCCGTTGTTTGGGTATCTTAAGTATCTACCTTGTTCAAGTTGTTCATAGCAATTCATATGTTCACAGTGTTTTTAGTACAAGACTTGAGGTCAGTTTCGACTGGAGATGGGCCGTTTTAACCTCGTCTTTCACAGCAGGATGTGCAAATACAATTTCTAACCACGGGAAATCAGTCAAACTTCAATTAAAAAAAAAAAAAAGAGGTTCATTGAAACAGCTAAAAAGGAATTTGGTTGACAAAGTGAAAAAAAAATAGCAGAGGCACCTGCAAGAAAAACTGGTACTACATCAGGTTGGTCAATATCCTCTGGAAATGGGCCGAAAGTTGATGAAGTGAAGTAGGGCATCATCTATAAATACAATCATTGCCAAAAGGAACTGTTCAGTGTTGTCTTAAAGACATAAACACCACCATTGTACTCTGGATATATTATTTATTGCATGTCCACCATGCTAAAAGACAGTTGTATGTATTTCTGTCGTGAAAACGGTATAAGTGAAGGATTTATAATGACATGTACATGTAGACGGCATTGTGTTTAGTGAAGGAAATTAGTCTTGTAAATTTCTTTTACGACTATAAACTGAGATATGAAAAAAATATAAGCCATATTCAAAAATCAGAGTTATTGTTTCTTTATTCTTTTATTTATATCAGTCAGGGCAGTTAAAGATGCCTTTGAACTAAATAGTTGTGGAAGGAATCTTCTATTCACTGTAAAAACCTCTTCGGGCAGTTGCATGTATTTACATAATGTACATTATATACAAAAAAGTCTTTTTTTTTTCATAAGCTGGATCAATTAATATATGTGCAATGCTGCAACCCAACTGTACTTATGACAAAATTAAAAATTGAAAACTAAACATTTCTTTAAAAGAATACTAGCTGTACTGGCAGAATCCCAATATGTTGTAGCACTATGAGTCTCGAACACTGCATCAGGCAAAGACTACAATAATTATTTTGTTTCCATTTCATATCGCTGAGGCACAACCCTTTCCATCTATTCTCACTTGTCTGCCACTTATTTTTCAGGCTACGGTCAAACAATTTGTTTCTAAAACTTCATGGTGACGTTAGAAAACGGAAGGATCTCCTCAAAAGGTAGCATGACATCAGTAAATCTTATAGGATAATTTAGTATCAATGTTGTACTGGGTTAAGAGGTTCTGCCCTGATGTTAACATAGTCTACTTGTTTGTCCGCTTCATCGTCTATCTCTCCAACTACAGCCCTGAAACAGAAACCAAAACATTACACACTAATTACACTAAACCAAAGAGTTTTAACCACCTAAGTATTTGGATAGGTATTTTTCTGCATATAGTATTTGATGGACAATTTGCATGATGGCAAGAGCCACAAGCATGCTTTTGGATAATTTCATACATGTTAACTACAGGAACATACTGAAATTGTATGATGTCATACTTTGTCCTTATTAGCCTTTTTCATCTTTTCCGGAAATTGAAATTGCATTGTGGGTAGGGGAGCCCTGCTACGTCGAAACACTTACAGCGGTGCTAAAAACCATGGCTGGGTTTACGTGCTTTTTGTCCCGCTACTACAATAACAGTAAGCGAGATTGACACATGAGGTTTAATAAGTTCCCAACAAACCCGTTAGAATGAAAAATAAGGTAGAAAGAAAGGAAGATATAGCAAGTTTGGATCAAAAGCAGGACACCGCGTTTGCGCTGAACATTTCGAAGGCGGGAAGAAAAACTATAATATTAGGAGATCAACGGTGCTTTAATAAAAAACAGAAATGCTTAGTTAAACAACGGATATAACGAACTATCGGCAAATAGAACTCGGGGGTAAAAAATGAGNGCTGTTGGGTTCAGGGCTTCTATGTATCAGTTGCCACCATGTCCAAGGACTATTGAAGTCATCTACAAAGGTTATAAAAGAGAAACAGTGATATATGGATGTGCCAGATTTTCATCTTGCTGGGAGTCTTCAACTTTTGTGGTCTATATATAAGTAACAGAAGCTGTGTTCAGGTGTAAGAATCACACGTGCTGCCATCTATATCCCAAGAGAAGCTCATCTAGACTGGGATCTGTTAATATCCCTTGAGCAATTTTGAGAAGAGGTCAGACAGAAGGTCATAATGTTTTATAATGTGATATGATGAGCAAAGAGTTCAATAGAAACATTCTATACAAGACAGTGATGGTATGGAAAGTTAGGACATGACGACAGCGGCAAAATTATTTGCCAGATGTAGTAGTATAGTGGACATTTCTGCTCAATTGGAATGGCCTCACATGAGAAAGATGACACACATGTATTTTAAAAGCACTTTTACTGTGTTCAGAGCTTTGTGCAAGATAACAGGTGTCCCAGTACAGAAGTCCACATTTCTGAAACTCAGGATGAAAAAAGTACCCTCTTCTGATGTATTATGAAGCAGTGTTCAGACAAGACAACTTTTGACCTGATATTGGTCCAACTTATAAACCCGCATTCAGACAAGACTACTTTTGACTTTACACTGGTACAACTAATAAAGTAACATTCAGACAGGACTACTTTTGACCTGAAATTGGGCAAACTTGCACTGTCAGACATCCATACATATTTTAGAACTATTGTCTTTGTGTAACATAAGTTAGTGGTCTGATTTCCAATACAGATTACAAGCACGAGATATTAAAGGCTGGGATAGATATTCACAATTTTTTTTCACTCTAAAGGGACCATTGCATGATGTGGTTCTATTGACTGTTGCTGGAATTGGTTCTGAGGTAGCAGTGAAAGGATGCTTGCAACCAATTAAAGGGTACCAATTTTTTTAATTGTATGGAACATTGGAATGCTGTATCATGTACGAAAAGGCATGTCACAGAATGTGAGAGCAGAAAAGGAATTAAGTAAAAATTAGGTTGCTGCTCTACAATCCACTTTGTGAAATAATAAGTATTTGATCATGAACATATTGTCATAGTAAAAGTCTGTAGGTTTAGTATGTGCACTGTCACACAGTCTTAGAAGTTAGGAAGTTTAGAAATTTAGGGGGAACATAAACATGCTGTTTTACTTCACAGGAAGTATTTACAGCATAACATTACCTTATTGTCATTCAAGCTGCTGTCCATTCGACTTATGCTGGTTATGAATGATAATTATGCTTGTTGAATTTGCGACTGCACACTTGAATCTATTGCCATGGTTTTCTGCCCTTAATAGTAAACAAATATAAACTTACGCTTGAATCAACCATGCCAAACACATCCTTCAGATTAATTCATCGTTGATTTGGAATTTTACAGATTTAATTCAAGGAACAGTATACATGCTTGCCCCATGAAAAAATTCACAACACATATTTGATGAACACATACTTTTGGAGCCATTCTTCTCTGCTGCATGCTTTTTTGGTTTGTGAATTTGCAGAGCAGGGGATGGGTTTTTGGTTAATTTGGAAAAACATGACAGATCTGAGAACATGAGTACTAACCGTATTCAAAGAAAATTGGATGGTTCAAGATGTTGGCAAGCCTGTATACTGCTTCTCCATGCCACAGTCCCAGATATTTGGTCACCCAGTGAGTTCTCTTTGTTATTAAGTAATTAAAATATCATTCAGTGCAATTGCAACCCCACTCTATGATACAGTGCGTTGTTTGGGTATCTTAAGTATCTACCTTGTTCAAGTTGTTCAGAGCAATTCAAATGTTCACAGTGTTTTTTAGTACAAGACTTGAGGTCAGTTCCCATTGGAGATGGGCCGTTTAAACCTCGTCTTTTACAGCAGGATGTGCAAATACAATTTCTAACCACAGGAAATCAGTCAAACTTCAATTAAAAAAAAAAAAGAGGTTCGTTGAAACAACTAAAAAGGAATTTGGTTGACCAAGTGAAAAAAAAAATAGCAGAGGCACCTGCAAGAAAAACTGGTACTACATCAGGTTGGTCAATATCCTCTGGAAATGGGCCGAAAGTTGATGAAATGAAGTAGGGCATCATCTATAAATACAATCATTGCCAAAAGGAACTGTTCAGTGTTGTCTTAAAGACATAAACACCACCATTGTACTCTGGATATATTATTTATTGCATGTCCACCATGCTAAAAGACAGTTGTATGTATTTCTGTCGTGAAAACGGTATAGGTGAAGGATTTTATGATGACATGTACATGTAGACGATATTGTGTTTAGTGAAGGAAATTAGTCTTGTAAATTTCTTTTATGACTATAAACTGAGATACGAAAAAAATATAAGCCATATTCAAAAATCAGAGTTATTGTTTCTTAATTCTTTTATTTATATCGGTCAGGGCAGTTAAAGATGCCTTTGAACTAAATAGTTGTGGAAGGAATCTTCTATTCACAGTAAAAACCTTTTCGGGCAGTTGCATGTATTTACATAATGTACATTATATACAAAAAAAGTCTTTTTTTTTTTTTTCATAAGCTGGATCAATTAATATATGTGCAATGCTGCAACCCAACTGTACTTATGACAAAATTAAAAATTGAAAACTAAACATTTCTTTAAAAGAATACGAGCTGTACTGGCAGAATCCCAATATGTTGTAGCACTATGAGTCTCGAACACTGCATCAGGCAAAGGCTACAATAATTATTTTGTTTCCATTTCATACCGCTGAGGCACAACCCTTTCCATCTATTCTCACTTGTCTGCCACTTATTTTTCAGGCTACGGTCAAACAATTTGTTTCTAAAACTTCATGGTGACGTTAGAAAACGGAAGGATCTCCTCAAAAGGTAGCATGACATCAGTAAATCTTATAGGATAATTTAGTATCAATGTTGTACTGGGTTAAGAGGTTCTGCCCTGATGTTAACATAGTCTACTTGTTTGTCCGCTTCATCGTCTATCTCTCCAACTACAGCCCTGAAACAGAAACCAAAACATTACACACTAATTACACTAAACCAAAGAGTTTTAACCACCTAAGTATTTGGATAGGTATTTTTCTGCATATAGTATTTGATGGACAATTTGCATGATGGCAAGAGCCACAAGCATGCTTTTGGATAATTTCATACATGTTAACTACAGGAACATACTGAAATTGTATGATGTCATACTTTGTCCTTATANAGAGCAATTCAAATGTTCACAGTGTTTTTTAGTACAAGACTTGAGGTCAGTTCCCATTGGAGATGGGCCGTTTAAACCTCGTCTTTTACAGCAGGATGTGCAAATACAATTTCTAACCACAGGAAATCAGTCAAACTTCAATTAAAAAAAAAAAAGAGGTTCGTTGAAACAACTAAAAAGGAATTTGGTTGACCAAGTGAAAAAAAAAATAGCAGAGGCACCTGCAAGAAAAACTGGTACTACATCAGGTTGGTCAATATCCTCTGGAAATGGGCCGAAAGTTGATGAAATGAAGTAGGGCATCATCTATAAATACAATCATTGCCAAAAGGAACTGTTCAGTGTTGTCTTAAAGACATAAACACCACCATTGTACTCTGGATATATTATTTATTGCATGTCCACCATGCTAAAAGACAGTTGTATGTATTTCTGTCGTGAAAACGGTATAGGTGAAGGATTTTATGATGACATGTACATGTAGACGATATTGTGTTTAGTGAAGGAAATTAGTCTTGTAAATTTCTTTTATGACTATAAACTGAGATACGAAAAAAATATAAGCCATATTCAAAAATCAGAGTTATTGTTTCTTAATTCTTTTATTTATATCGGTCAGGGCAGTTAAAGATGCCTTTGAACTAAATAGTTGTGGAAGGAATCTTCTATTCACTGTAAAAACCTCTTCGGGCAGTTGCATGTATTTACATAATGTACATTATATACAAAAAAGTCTTTTTTTTTTCATAAGCTGGATCAATTAATATATGTGCAATGCTGCAACCCAACTGTACTTATGACAAAATTAAAAATTGAAAACTAAACATTTCTTTAAAAGAATACTAGCTGTACTGGCAGAATCCCAATATGTTGTAGCACTATGAGTCTCGAACACTGCATCAGGCAAAGGCTACAATAATTATTTTGTTTCCATTTCATACCGCTGAGGCACAACCCTTTCCATCTATTCTCACTTGTCTGCCACTTATTTTTCAGGCTACGGTCAAACAATTTGTTTCTAAAACTTCATGGTGACGTTAGAAAACGGAAGGATCTCCTCAAAAGGTAGCATGACATCAGTAAATCTTATAGGATAATTTAGTATCAATGTTGTACTGGGTTAAGAGGTTCTGCCCTGATGTTAACATAGTCTACTTGTTTGTCCGCTTCATCGTCTATCTCTCCAACTACAGCCCTGAAACAGAAACCAAAACATTACACACTAATTACACTAAACCAAAGAGTTTTAACCACCTAAGTATTTGGATAGGTATTTTTCTGCATATAGTATTTGATGGACAATTTGCATGATGGCAAGAGCCACAAGCATGCTTTTGGATAATTTCATACATGTTAACTACAGGAACATACTGAAATTGTATGATGTCATACTTTGTCCTTATACAGAACTTATATTTCACTTAGCAGATTCACCAACAAATGATAAGCTGGGTAATATTTAGTGAACATTTTGAATGCCACTTAATTTAGAACAACTCTCACATAAGATTGCTTACACATTGTCTCCTCTGATTATGTACAAGCCTAATACCACTTGCTCCACTCCCTGCTGTGAACTGTACACTCTCTCATGGCTTTCATCTAATATAAGGTTGATTGTTTGATCGAATCCTTTCAGTGTCCCCTGAAAACATACACAGCAATTAGCAGACAAGTTGGGAAGTTGCAGGGAAACTGTTCATGGAAAATGAAAGCAAAAGGTGAAGCCTTATTTGGTTATTATACTACAGTACACATTCGATACGATTACTGGAATAAAAATGTAGTTTTTGTATGCATTAAATCCACTTACAAAAATCAATTATGATTCCGAAAGAAAAAATGGTCAGTCCTAAAATAAAGCATGCATTTTATATGCACATTGTAATAATAACTTCTACACCTCTGTTCAAAAAAGTTTTAAAAAAAGCCATAAATATTTTGTATTTACACGTTATAAAACTAACAGTAGAGAGCATGTAAAATGTAACCTGCATGCATTTTAGTGCTCAATAAAGAATTATTATCATTATTATTATAATTATAATAATAGAAAAATGCCATGACCAAATTAAAATAAAAATACATCTATTGGATTCTACTCACCACTATCATTCTGCCATCTGATGTGATCACAGACACAGTTCCTGGCTACTGTTAAGGTGAACACACAACCACGACAATCTGATAATACACTACACTTTATTTATTATACATTAGATATATTAAAATAAAAAGGATAAATACCCCCCCCCCCAAAAAAAACACTGAAATAGCCTACCAAAACAACGTCTTTGTGTAAAAAAAGAAACGTCAATAATTTAGAATACATTAAAGCGACAGCAATTTGCACTCTCTTTTTTCATCATTAACTTTAAAGAGCTTGCCACGCAGTAGTACTACTAATAGCAAATGGTATTAACTATAATTAAACATAATACTGCTAGATATTTTACTTTCGCTTGCCTTTGAGTTTGCGAACTTACTCTGCGAATGATATATTTCTGCGTAGCTATTGCACAAAATAACTAAAAAGTACTTCCCACAAGATAAAAGATACGCCCAACGTATGATTCTATTGCTGAGGCCATCAGTTGCTTCAAATCTAGTTCTTTTAACAATAAAATACTATCGTCACACTAACGTTTCACGCTAATTTCTAAGGCCGCCCCGCATGCGCTTCTCGGCAGGAAGTGATATAGAAATAAAAGATTGGATAAACTCTCCGAACCAGTACTATTATTTTATTACTTTATAGAATTTAAAACAGATACATTTTGAATATCATACATTTTTCACCCATATTAATTTTTTGCAGCAAAAGGTATTAAAAATTGTACATGGATCTCTCTTTTTTTATTATAAGAGTATTTTTCAGTTCGTAAAATCCGATCTCAGAGTTAAAATGGAGGAGCTTGGCATGGGGAAAGAATGAGAAATGCTAGATAGATTTTTGGAGGCGTTTCATGGTGCATTGTGAGTGTTTATTGAAACCTTACATCAGAGTATGTTATCATGGTGTTGTGGGTATTTATGATTGGATTAAAATATTTGCAGCCGACGACACTATTTGTCGACGGTTGCTTTAACCCTAGTACGTTGATACTCGAGTTAAAATTTTTGTACATATAGCAGTTGACATTGATGGTGATCATAATCTATCATTTTCTTAGGACTGAAAAAGGAAAAAAGAAGCAAGATGCCATTTAATGTTTTCCAACGGACACTGCGCGTTGTTTGTCTAGAGAGTCCAGCCACAAAGGTCCTTGTGCAGTCCTGCCTTTTTAGAAGAAACCCCCTTACTGAGGGTTTGGCTTCCAATAAGTGAGTGGACTTGTATATTGTAAACTTATGCTAGAAATTTTTTCTGCTTATTTGATATTCAAACTGTTATATAAAAAAACTTCGCAGAAGTTGCAAAGCCTAATGAGTGTATAGTTACTAGTAGTATAAAGCATTTGTGGTCATTATGATAGCTGTGTGGTGAGATGTTCCATTGAATTCTTGTTAGGCTTGTACTAACACATGCACGAATTAAATTATTTCAGTGATTAATAAACTGTATAAAGATGTGTATAGAAACTCTTTGATCATATATGAAGTACTTGAATTTTCAACAAAATATAAATCATACAGGTTTATCTAACAGAATGTTTTTTCTTTATAACTTAAAAATTTCCTGGACAAATGGCATTTCAGGGAAAACCCCCCTCACAATAATGCCTGTGTCTAAATATTAAATATACCCCATTGTTTACAAATCTTTTTCCTATTTCCAGACATAGCGTGCACACGTCAGCATGTCTGGCTGGTAGATACTCTGGCCGCAGGCTGGCGGAGAGGCCAGAGGAGTACACCACCAAGCCTCTCCGCCTGGTGAGCACTGGAGGCTGGGATGAGGAAGGTGTGCAATGATGTTCCTTCACTAAATATTGATCAGAGTATTTGGATGTTGTGTTGGTACCCACTGCTTCCCCTCCCTGACACAGACACACACATGCACGCACGCATGCATGCACACACATACACACAGAGAGTTGCCTGCCTCTAGCGCATGCATTTTTAGGATTTTTATTTAAGGGAATTTTCATTTCTGGGGTTGTTGCTTGATGGCACTCTGAAATTGTTGAGACATTTGCACCTACTTGTAATCTTGTGGCCTAAGTTTGTGTGTAGAGGTTGCATTAAAGTCATAATAACTCTTCATTTTGGCCAAAAATTGGATTTTTCCTGGAGTAAACGGCAATTTTCCTGTACTTACCAATGGTCAGCGACCCCATTCCTGCATTCAAAGTTAGTCCAGGTTTTTTTTCCTAAACGATTGGTTTTTTGTTAAAATCTCTTAAGAGATTTTAACTGACGGAGCCCACTCTGACATTGAATAGTCACGCGATATCGAGCGGGGTTTTCTGATGACCTACTTAAAACCGCGGAAAAAGCAGACAACAACAGTTTATTACAATAAAATAAGATTCATACGATATAATCGTCTTATTGCTCAGAATGCATGTATATCTACAACCTGTGCAGTTCTGGGCTTTTTGTTATCCGACACACTGTACAAAAACTCGCAACTTACGTCTGAGGATTGCGTCATGCGCCTGCTGTATCTTATCCCGCCACATGTTATTTTGGTCTCGAATGCACGCGAGAATCCGCATGATGCCCCAACAGCCTTGGCAACGGATGCCTTGACGACCAGGAAGAAAGGCACCGAAAGCCCTATTGACGAGCACAGTTTTTAGTTTTACTACAATAACAGCCGTTTTAGTGGTGAAATGCAATATAATATATTTCCATGTGTTGTTTAGAATGTATTTCTTGCGGAATTTTGAATCTCAAAGAAAGAGTTATTATTGCTTTAAGTTGTAAGTCTGTCAGAGATTTTATTACCAATTTTTTATTGATGACTGCGTGTAATTGGTTATAACTTTTTTTCTTACTTTAGTTTCACCGACCTTGTTTTGACATTCATTTTATGTTTTGTGTTAAAAAGAATAAACCGCAGAAGAAACTTTTTAATGTGGTCAGACAAATTAAGGGTCCCCTTGAATGTGCCCTATTTAAGTGTCAATCTTTGCAAATCTCACATTAAAGAAAGAGCATGTTGTAGTTTATGTAACAAATAAATGATATTATATATAAATTCATAACTCCACAGGAAACCATTACTCAAGACGGCTGGGTGGGGGTAACAGAAGAAAATACCGCATGATTGATTGGAACAGAGCTCGTCTCGTACAGGGAAAGACACCGTATAAAGAAGTTGTTGTTTCTCTGGATCGCGATTGCAACCGCAGTGCTACAATTGCCTTGGTGGCTGCAGGGGAGGTGAAACGCTACATCCTGGCCACGGTCAATATGAAACCTGGTGACATTATCACCACCTTTCCTGCTTGTCATGAGATGAAGACTTACACAGGTGAGAGAGAGTATGTACTTGTATCAGGTGAAATCACCACCTACCCCCCCCCCCCACCCACCCATCCCTCTCCTCATGCTCCTCAAGTGATGACTGTGAGAGAGAGAGTATCTGCCATCACTTGTACGTGTAATGGGTGAAATCACCACTTAACCCCCTCCCCTTCCCTCTCCTCATGCCCAGTGTCATCAAGTGGAGAATCAGACAGGTGATAAGAGTATGAGTTGTTCTTGCAACAGGGGAAATCACCACCAAATCCACCTACCCTTGTCATCAAACGAAGATTAAATTAAGTAAGGTCTTCCATTGCTGTTTTTAAATGAAAAAATAAAGATCATCCATTAATTTCAATTCAAGTGAACAAAATGAAGTGACCTCATTTAATAGGTATAAAAACTACATTTCCTGGTTTGCTAAATTTCATAATGCAGAAGTCAGAAATGAGCAGCTACCTGGTGGGTTTACCCATTTTCAGCCCCTTCTCTTATCATCTGGTTCATTTAGCTGGACTGGTCCGGGCTACTAGTATAAAGTTGTCAGTCTCTGAAAGTGGGCCATCCCAGTTCAGTGGACTACTGGATATAGAAAGAGACCCCCCCGCAACACACACACACACACAGAGGATACTTATCTCTTTTTCAAAAATGATGTCCTCCATCTTAAAGGGATGAAACTGCCATTTAGTGAAAAAGTCTGAAAATATGGCATGGGGTCCCTATCTCTCCCCCCAACTCCCCCCACCCCCCACCCCCAACCCCAGTTTTAATTGCAGATATGCATCAATCTCAAAAATTATATTAATGTCTCAAAAATGTTGGAAATCTGCATATAATTGAAAAAAATCTCACCTATGATCTTGTTTCCTTTTCAGTGGCAGGTAAAGAAGGGGACTGTCACTCTGTGGGCTCCCTCCCCCTGGGGACCCTGGTGAACTCCGTGGAGGTGTACCCTGGTACCGGGGCCCGCTTGGCCAAGTCTGCCGGCTGTCAGGCCAAGGTGGCCCGGAGGGTGCCGGGGGCCGTCTTGGTGGCCATGCCCTCGGGGAAAGAGGCCATGCTGCACCCTGGATGCATGGCCACAGTTGGACAGATCGCTAACCCGGACCACTCCAAGCTAAAGTTGACAAAGGCCGGCGTAAACCGGTGGTTTGGGATTAGGCCCAAGAGTGGTTTGAAAAAGAAAAAGACTGGGTTCGATGGGAAGGCGGTAAGGAAGAAGAAAATTCAGCAGAAAATGGCGGGAAACCCTCTTTTGCGTAATCAAATGAACCCAAATCTCAAAGTTCTTACCTGGAATGAAGGGACGAGATTGTGGCGAGATGATAGTCATGTTTGAGTCCAGAGTATATAGAAAAGAAATAAAAATCAGATTTAAACTTATTTCATGTGTCTGTATGGATTTACTAGAATTTTGAAATGGACAAAGTGGGGCATGACTGTATGTAATCTGGAAAAGCACCCCCTGGGATTAGGTCAGCAATTTATATCCTCTACATAAATGTAATCTTGGGCCTAATCCCAATATGTAATCTGGCAAAGCACCCCCTGGGATTAGGTCACCGATTTATATCCTCTACATAAATCATACTGTTTTGGATAGCATGTGTATGGGGTGAAAGTTTCAGAACTCTCTAGCTTTGGTTGTCACTGGTATAGTAATAATTATTTATGCTTTCTGAGCCAAAGCTCTTAGAAACAAAAAGTGTTTGTACAAAATGAGGAAATGTTTTTAGAATCATACATTATGACTCTAGACAAAATGTCAAAATTGAAAATAGTAATTGAGAAAGGATTATTTAAAATAATATCAACAGTAATCTTTATTGAACTAGAGTTCAAATTAAATCAAGTTATTTAAATTAACATTTTATATTTGTGTCTTTTTTCAAGTTTCAAGACTTTCATGATGTCCTGTTATAACAGTTAAATTAATACTGAGACAAAGATTATGCTTACAGCAAAGATGAGCAATTTTCATTTACTGCTGCCGTATCTGATTACATCCCAGAGGCGGAGAGACGCCGTCTTCTGGAAGACGGTCAGGATTTTTTTAGTTTACATTGACGGGCATCAAATTTTTTCCATCAGAAGATGGTCAAAAATGGAGGATAGATCCACAAAGATAATTTGGAAGAAAATATATCTGGATCCACCCCTGCATCCCTCTTCCCAATGACAAGTTTTCAAGCTCAAACTGTGACTGCACTACACAGCATATGCTTGCTGTTTCTACTCCACAGTTGTCATGGTATAGGAAAAATGTATTCCAAATCATAAATGGTTGGAAGATGACGTGGAGTAAAAAAAATATTGAAACCTATAAAGACATACTTCAGTTGTGGCTGTGTCACAGAGCTATGCATTTGTCAATAAACGCGCCTCCATTGCCTGCCTCAAATAGAATCCTATGACCATTTAAATAACTTGCACCATTTCTTTGTCTTCCAAATTTAAGAAAATTATTCAGCTACGTACATGACTGTGTTCTCCCCTTCATAACATGTAACAGATAAACCACACCTTCGGGGTATTTAAAATACTTAAGTGTACCTGAATACCTCTCTACATATGCAACTAATTAACTTTCATTCAACTATGACTGCAGACCTGAGAATGTGGACCTTTGTTGATACAACTTGACAAATGGCACAGATCAAAATTTGATTCCCAGTGCACACTTGGGCCTTTTGTTCTTCACAACTGCAATGATTTAGCAAACTGGTAAGCAAGTTCCTGAATCTCATTCTTGATTATCATATTATGAACAGAAGACCATAATTTTCATTCCATCTGGGAATTTTCATTAACTGTAAGTCCTCATTTCCCATAACATTTTGCAATGTCATGGACAGTATTTTATTAAAAAAATTTCTTTGGTGAAAGCATTAACACATTGTAAGTTGCCCATTCATTAATCACATTTCTTTCTTAATGGTTTCTCCCTTGGAGATTATGGTATCTCTCAGTTGATTGGCTAGATGAATTTCGCAACAGCGTTGCAAGTAAGGCAGAAAAAATTGCAGGTTTCCCTCTGAAGGCAGCATGTTCAGGAATGTCTTAGGGTCAAGAAGTTCACTTAAATTTCGAACAACTCCTGAAAAATAAAAGTATTAGAAGCTACTTAAAATCGCAAAACAAATCTTAAAGATGGGTCTGCTTTTGAAATAAAAAACAGCAAGAAAGCAAATGTCACTAGTCCCCTCTTTTCTTTCTAATTTAAGATGAAACGAGATCAAATATTTCTCAGCAATTAAGCATTTATCTTGATCATAGTACATTTATAGTTTTTACAAAAAATAAATTTAAAATGTCTTTAGGCTGCACACCTTTGTAAGCCTCCGTATATAACTTGTGACTAGAGCTGGACTCTGTGGACTGTCGTAAAATGGAAGTTAGACTGTCCAAAACATAGTTCCACTGAAACACAAATCATTCCATATTTAAAAAAATATTCCATTGAGACTGACATTGCCACATACATCAATATGACTCTCTGACTCATGAGGTATGCAGTTTTTACATCAGTGTGCATGAAAAGGTTTTAGCATTTGATATTTTAAACATTTTGCTGTTCAACAAATAGTAAAATACACAATTAATCAATGCCAGACATTTGATGGGAGCTGCATGGAATTTCTACAAGGCAACTTTTAAGATGGCAGACCAACAGCCTCTCTATTTCATGAGCAAATCAAGAAATTTCACTATTCAAAAGGGCTTCAAAAGATTAAAAACTATATATGTATATATATGTATACACACGGCCGACTCTATTTTAACAATCAAAAACCTACCTGGTCTTTCCTATTTCCACACACACTGCTTGCAAACACTGGGATCAAGCTAGGGTGGTTTTCAATCACAGAGTCCAAGGCTGCCTCCACGTCCAACTTGGTCAAACACAGAAGCTGCACTGAGACACGGCCTAAGAAATCTTCAAATGAGGTATTCAGGGAGTCCATTACTTTCTTTACAAACTCCACAGTGGCATACTTTGAGCAAAGGAGAGACTGGAATGAATGGAGAATCGGAATAAAAAGTGTAACAGTAGAATCAAAATAATAACGAAACATTGTAATCATCGACAAAGAGAGGATATTCTTCTTTCTTATTCAAATTCAAAAGATTTTTTAAATCTATGAGATAATACAGTGAACTGTTACATCAATAAGAAAAAACACAACTGCCCTTATATCACTGGGAAAAGACTGCAATGAACAATCAATGTCTTTTAAAATGACTCGATGCTCAAACTAACCTGTAACTTTAATAAATCCTCATTACAACAGCAGCAGGAGCATTCCCCTTCAACATTCCCCGCCTTCTCTTTCACCACTGTGTGAACGTCTAAGTTCTCGCTGGACCTCTGTTTCATCTCTGGCGTTACCAAGTCTGCCGCCTGCCTTGATCTGTTGATCTGTACTGGGTCCGAGGCGATCCTGTGCCTGAGTTTACTCTGGGCGGCACTCAGCTGTAACTTGGTGCAAGGCTGATGGAAGATGGACTGAGTACCTGGCAACAGAATGAGAGAGAAAGAGATGGTATAACTTCTGGTTATTTCCTTTAAATAATCAGCAAAAGGTCGTAAATTTCAGAATGGCTACGTAACCTTTAATGGAATAGCAGCCCTTCAGAATGAAAAACACTTTGGAATAAAGAAGTACAACCATTCTAGCACTTATAGCCTCACTCCATGATAAAAATACTGTCCTGTAAGAAATTGCAATACTGTCCTGTAAGAAATTGTAATAGTACCTCTGATTTATAGCCGTTCTTGGATGAACCTATCATTGTAACTTTGACTGCTGAATACATCTGATGGAATTCTTTGCTGGATTTATGGGTTAATTATTTACATACCCTTGAAAGGTGTCATTTCATCCAGCCAGGCTTGCCTCTTCCCAAAATGCCCCCTTCCCTTAGGCTGCAAATAGGAGAAATAGTTTGATGAAAATGGAATTCTATTAAATACAATGTTTTCTCAATTGTTTGTGACACACTATCACAGCTGTGTTCATCACTAAAAAAAATTGGTTTAATTAATTTCTGTTTATCAATCTTTCCATCCATGCAGAGACTTGTGCTTGTCAAAACCTTCACATTCCATCCAATAAAAACACTCTAGACTATTAACTGTGACTGGAATAGGCAAATTATTTTCTTTTCGGAGAGGAGGTTGGCTTACAATGTGAGAGTGCCCAGGAGTGGGCAGAGTTCGAGTCTGAACTGGCCTCCAATGACGCAGACGATCCAAGTAGATCTGAGCCAGTAGAATCTGAAATAATGATTTTCAAATGTCAACACCACCATCAAAATGTTCCAAGAGCTACCTATATTATTTTACGCAACTTGACTGGCATAATTCTTTTTTTTTTTTAATAGTCTATTTTTGCCAAAGACATGATATAATAATTTTAAAAAACAAAGTTAACATGCATGTACAGTATCTTATTACTTGAAGCAGTAGTCTTTTTCTGATGACAATTACGTACCTATTCTCTTTTACTGTTTGATATCTAACTCAATAATGTCATATAGTCTAGTAATTTTTTTTTTGTCTTGTAATGAATTTCTCCATTCTAATTTTCAAAAAGAAATAAAAAGACTTGTGAGGATCTTTATTGTTTTTCTTACTTTCATTTGCTATTTCTAAACACCCAATTATTGATAGCAATCTAATGAACAGATCACACTTACTGAGCCTTCCTTGAATATGAACTGTCTTGATGGATCTGAAAAATGATGCAAAACATGAACTGAAAAAAAATGTTAACAATCCACCAAATAACTCCCTTTCTCCCTTTATATTTTACCAGCAAAATGTCCAATTTTCCAAAAATAAACAAAAACTTAAATTTAAATTGTTTCCAAGTCCAAACCAGTATTTATCAGCAGTAACTTAAATGAAAATATTGGTCTGTTTTGAATGAGAAAATGGTATGTGCATTAAACAACATTTTTTACTCCATTATATTGCTACAGAATTATACTGAATCAATCTACCTATATACTTTAATTCTAAGTCTAAAATTTAACACTATAGCAACTTTTAGCCTTAAGTTCTTTTGTAAAAAAATGNTTTAATAAATCCTCATTACAACAGCAGCAGGAGCATTCCCCTTCAACATTCCCCGCCTTCTCTTTCACCACTGTGTGAACGTCTAAGTTCTCGCTGGACCTCTGTTTCATCTCTGGCGTTACCAAGTCTGCCGCCTGCCTTGATCTGTTGATCTGTACTGGGTCCGAGGCGATCCTGTGCCTGAGTTTACTCTGGGCGGCACTCAGCTGTAACTTGGTGCAAGGCTGATGGAAGATGGACTGAGTACCTGGCAACAGAATGAGAGAGAAAGAGATGGTATAACTTCTGGTTATTTCCTTTAAATAATCAGCAAAAGGTCGTAAATTTCAGAATGGCTACGTAACCTTTAATGGAATAGCAGCCCTTCAGAATGAAAAACACTTTGGAATAAAGAAGTACAACCATTCTAGCACTTATAGCCTCACTCCATGATAAAAATACTGTCCTGTAAGAAATTGCAATACTGTCCTGTAAGAAATTGTAATAGTACCTCTGATTTATAGCCGTTCTTGGATGAACCTATCATTGTAACTTTGACTGCTGAATACATCTGATGGAATTCTTTGCTGGATTTATGTGTTAATTATTTACATACCCTTGAAAGGTGTCATGTCATCCAGCCAGGCTTGCCTCTTCCCAAAATGCCCCCTTCCCTTAGGCTGCAAATAGGAGAAATAGTTTGATGAAAATGGAATTCTATTAAATACAATGTTTTCTCAATTGTTTGTGACACACTATCACAGCTGTGTTCATCACTAAAAAAAATTGGTTTAATTAATTTCTGTTTATCAATCTTTCCATCCATGCAGAGACTTGTGCTTGTCAAAACCTTCACATTCCATCCAATAAAAACACTCTAGACTATTAACTGTGACTGGAATAGGCAAATTATTTTCTTTTCGGAGAGGAGGTTGGCTTACAATGTGAGAGTGCCCAGGAGTGGGCAGAGTTCGAGTCTGAACTGGCCTCCAATGACGCAGACGATCCAAGTAGATCTGAGCCAGTAGAATCTGAAATAATGATTTTCAAATGTCAACACCACCATCAAAATGTTCCAAGAGCTACCTATATTATTTTACGCAACTTGACTGGCATAATTCTTTTTTTTTTTTAATAGTCTATTTTTGCCAAAGACATGATATAATAATTTTAAAAAACAAAGTTAACATGCATGTACAGTATCTTATTACTTGAAGCAGTAGTCTTTTTCTGATGACAATTACGTACCTATTCTCTTTTACTGTTTGATATCTAACTCAATAATGTCATATAGTCTAGTAATTTTTTTTTTGTCTTGTAATGAATTTCTCCATTCTAATTTTCAAAAAGAAATAAAAAGACTTGTGAGGATCTTTATTGTTTTTCTTACTTTCATTTGCTATTTCTAAACACCCAATTATTGATAGCAATCTAATGAACAGATCACACTTACTGAGCCTTCCTTGAATATGAACTGTCTTGATGGATCTGAAAAATGATGCAAAACATGAACTGAAAAAAAATGTTAACAATCCACCAAATAACTCCCTTTCTCCCTTTATATTTTACCAGCAAAATGTCCAATTTTCCAAAAATAAACAAAAACTTAAATTTAAATTGTTTCCAAGTCCAAACCAGTATTTATCAGCAGTAACTTAAATGAAAATATTGGTCTGTTTTGAATGAGAAAATGGTATGTGCATTAAACAACATTTTTTACTCCATTATATTGCTACAGAATTATACTGAATCAATCTACCTATATACTTTAATTCTAAGTCTAAAATTTAACACTATAGCAACTTTTAGCCTTAAGTTCTTTTGTAAAAAAATGGGTCTAATTCAACTAAATAAATGAAAATTATTTAAAAGTTATTTTTTGATTAGTAATTTCCAGAAACTACAGACTTCTAGAACTTACTGCTCAGCAGCATCTCCAGGTAGTCTCTGATGTGAGTATTGGTCCACAAGTCTGTGGTTGAAAGTTCACCCTGAAGTATTTTATGTATATAATTTACCCAAATTTTTTAATATGACCTACACAACTGTACAAAATTCACCAATTCTGAGGCACACACAAGCAAACACAAAAACATATATTAGCATACACAAAGATAAACACACCCAAACAAATGCACAGACAGGCATGCACACACACACACACACACACACACACACACACACACACACACACACACACACTTTCCCTACCCTCGCTTGCTTCAAGTCACTTCTGTCTCCCAACTCCCTCCACCCAACAATTAAGACCATAAAACTAACTGAATAGTTCTTTCAAAGAACTGATATGTTATGTATATATATAACTAGTAACTTAATGTAGGGAATCCCATAGTGGTATGCATATACTAGTAGATATAAATGCAGTACGTGTCATTCACATATCATTTGCACCTTCTATTTTTTTGTTATAAACATATATGTATTTGATTATTTTGTGTGGGCAAGAAACATTTCAATGAACAGAAAGAAAACAAAGTGTCCACTTACCTGCAATAACTTTACAGCCACATCCATAGTAAAAACCCCTTCATCATGCAGAGCCACCAGGATGTCAATGAACATTTTGGGGGTGGACTGGCGGGAAAGCTGAAAAACCACCAATTCACCAGTACAATAACTCAGTGTCTCATATAAATACACATGTATATCTTTTACAGGGGGCAGATTTAGGCCGTCTTCTGGGTCTTCTGGAAGACGGTCAGATTTTTAAGTTTACATTGTCAGCCATCTAATGTTTTCTGTCGGAAGACGGTCAAAATTGGAAGATGGATCAACAAAGATAATTTGGAAGACTGTCAGAAAATATCTCTGGATCCGCCCCTGTTTTAAGATATTAAAATATGTTTTAATTAGAAAGGGTCTCATTCAAAGCAGATAAAATTGTGTTCCCATTGTTCCCATTTTAAGTATCATTCTTTTAAGGTATGCTCATTGCAATAAAAAACCTCCCTCCCCCCCCCCCC